ATATTCCCTGTACCTTTTGTGCAGGGAACTGTTCTAAAAAAATATCATTCAGGGAGAACACACAGAGACACAAGAGGATATTATGACATCAGAACTGTGTATCATAGGCAGGCTGTTTATTTCTTAAGAACATAAAAGCCCTGCTGATTAAATCAAAGCTTCAGGATGCCAGCATCCTGTTTTTGACAATGGACATCCAGCTGCTTCTGTGAAAAGCTTGGAACAGGGCACTGTGCCTGTAGCCTTCATTAATCATCCCCACGCCTTCACCAACAGGTATCTGATGGAATCGTCAACTATTTCTAATAATACAGGTTCAATTTAAGTGGTGCTCACTGACAAACACTATGGATAGTTCATGGATTTGTCCAACCCCCCCTTCTAAATCTTATTGCCAACCTTCACACCTGTGTTGGCTGGAAAGTATGAGGGCTGTAGCTCACTGTGTAAGCAGGATACCACACTGGGGAAAGGTGGGCTGACTCTTTCAAAAAGCTATCCCTGCCTTTGTGGCAGCAAATTCCAAACCTGAAAATCAGAGAAGAGCTTTCTAGGATCTCGCCTGAATATACTGGGCGTAGTCAGTTATGGAGATGCCATCAAGTTGAGTTTGACTCCTGCTGAATGTATGGAGAAACGCTTGCTGATTTGACTTGTTCTTGATAATCTTATTACTCTTCCAAAGGTATTTACAAATACAGTTCTCTACTACTGTGACTTGCATAAAGACTGGAGAAGATAAGGAGAAAGAGGGAAGCAAAACTAGAACTTGAGGAATGGAAAAGAAAGAAAAAGAGATGCTTACCTGAAATCGTTGCCTATTCTTTTGCCCCGATCTGGAATCCCAGGGTCTGGACACATGTTATGTCCCTGGGATGCACCAACCTGTGTTACTACAAAGCAAAAAAACAGCATATACAGAGGTAGAATAGAAGACAAAGAATGCATATCATCTCAGTGTTGGTGATGCAAAGAAAATGGAAAATTACAAGTTGGAATGCACTGAGTAAACATCACCTCTTCCCCTATTCCCTCCCCTCAAAACATCTGCCGAGGAGTGTTCATTAAGCTGGTACACTGCAGATGCATTAGATTACAGCTGGTTTGGGATTATGGGAGTTGTAGTCCAACACATCTCAGAAGGCTGAATTATGGACTACATGAACTATCAAAGCACCCCAGCTTCGTAATAGTATTACAACCCTTGATGAAAATTCAATTCCCGTTCACTCATCCCCACCTCTCACGTGTAAGCCACTGAAGCAGACACCTCAAAATTTTCTTCCATTTCACAAAACATTGCCCAAATTGAAGACTTGTTCCCAAAGCCAGCTTGTAAAAATAACACCTGAATACAGAATTTTATGCAAATTCCATTATCCACCATCTGGCTGATGTTAATGAAAGGCAATAAGTTAAATAAAAAGCAGTGGAAGATGACGATCAAGGTGTGTAGGGAGATGACAGGAGAAGAGGACAGAAGCCAGTTGGGTTCAAAGTTGGTGATTTAGTTTCATTGTTCAGAACCTGAAGAGGAGTAACCTTTTCCATTAGCAGAGGGAAAAGAAGGATCAAACAGTGCCAAGAGTTCCATGCCACCCATCAAACATCAGAACTTCCAGAACTATTCTAAAATGGTATGTATTAACTAGGATGAGATGAGATCTGAATAAAAGTGGGTTGATTTCAATTGCATTTCAGTTTTTAAAGCATCCAACAAAGAAAATGATAAAAATGTGTTTATTTTATTTTGTTCTGCTTTTCCCTGCCCTTTCTGCCATGGCCTGGTTGAAAAATACGTGGCATAATTTTCTAGGTGAGCAGATTGACAAAGGGAAATATGGAAGTACACAGCACAGACTCCAAAGCCAAAGAGAACATGGAAACATCTATGAACATGACTTATTCCCACGATGACTAATCTACATGAATAATGCATCCATGTCTTTAAGACTGGAGGTGTCAACAGCAATTACTGAATGGTGAAAAATGAGTCTTTCCCTAAAGACAACTTTATTTCACAATGACTTGGGGCAACTGAATCCCCCTTAAGGAAGCAGGTATCAAATTCAGGCAGGATCTCTTTAGAAGAGGACCCCACATCATAATGCCTGAAAGGATGGAATCAGGACCTCTTACAGAGAAACTGAGACCACCAAGCTTATGAGCCACTGCCTGGTTTCTAACTCTAATGGTCTCTGTGATGGTTTTCTTATTGCCAGTCTCACAAAATTCTACAGGCTTAGTTACTGCTTTCTGTCCCTAGCGAAAAAGGATCAAGAACACATCCATTGATTACATTGCACTTTGAGGGATATGTGTAATAATACTGGATGTATGCCTAGGAAAGAAGTGTGTAGTCATTCAAGGAACACTGCAGTATTTATCCCCATATTTGTGTAAAGCCCTTTTTTCCCCTTACACATTAGATGCACTGATGACTACATGGCTACAGAGAAAGCTATATATATATATATATATTTTCAAATAATAAAGAAATATTGGATCACAATATTTCTGCTTTATCACAGTATTTTTGCTGCATCTCCATTCACAGCCAGTTGGAGGAGTAACCTTCTAGGTCACCCACCTGCCTACCCATCTTTTGATTTCTGTCTTGAGATGGAAATCTATTATTTCAACATGAAGGACCACAGAATGGTGCTCAGAACAATTCCTGCATATGTGTCCACGGAATATTTCCACATTAAAATTGCCAAGTACTACAACAAACTAAACAACGCCTTATGAACCACAATTATTATAAGCACAGCACCTTCTCTCTTATAGAAATCATGCCGATCACTAACCCACTAAATATTTTCTGACAATTGTTGCAGGAGTGAGCATGCAGACACCCACCGCTATATAGTCACCCCCCAAATGGAGACTCCCCCGTGTTAAGTTCTGATTAATAAGAGACGTTAAAGAACACTCCTGTTATTTTTTCCCATTAACTGCACTGCACGTTATGGGGAATGTAATTATGAAGCAAAAAGTACAGAACATGAAATTCTTGACAAACTGAACCTGGGGACCCAGAAATGGGGCTGAGGAGCAAGATAGTATAGACATTGTCTATTTTTCAGGTGCATTTTTACCTTTATTTAATCAACAATTAAAAATGCTAGGTTACCAAATTCAACAATATTGACATTGGCTTATTATAATCATACATACACTTGAATCTGGGAATGAAAACATATCTAAGAATAACAGATCAGTATAAGCAGTACAGAAGATTTAGAGAACTCCACTTTGGTTATAGTCTTTTTCTCTGATCATTATGGGGTGGGGGCATTTAACCATTCTGGCCAGTTGTAGGGCGAATTCCAACTGAGTTGGCTGCCCACTTCCAGGGTCCATGGATGAATTAAATAAATATTTACAGACTTTCCATTGTTACTGTAATTTTGCTATTCTCTACCTATCTAGTTTGCATGAACTGCAGTAGTACTGGAGGTGGGGCTGGGGAGGGCAGAAAATAGAAGCATGGAGTTCATGCATCTTCGTGGGTCCTTCACATTCAAGTAGGCCCTATTTTTCACTCAGTAAGGTTGGAGCTAGCAATCTTGGTCTCTTGAGACTCAAAACCAGGAGCCAGTATTTGAATCCAAAAACTCTGTCATGACAACTGCAGATTCAGTGTTGCTGTCACTAAACTCACCTCAAAGAAGGAAAACAGATGGGATCTTAATCATTAGCAGTAAGAAGCATCTTGCAAAGGAAGAACAAGTTAACATATCTTCACTTTTTTTTTTTTAATAATTAAGACTTTAAAAATGTAGACTCTGATCATGGCTAAGTTATCAATGCACGTGGAGATGAAATTGAACCTTTCCTTCCCTTGCTGTGGAATTAAGGAACCTCCATTTTCTGAAGCTACTTTATGCACATGAGATGAAATTAATCCACCTCCCGTGAACTTCCATTTTTTGGAAATGTCCTCCCAATGCCAATGCTAACTTCAGAGAATAAACAGAGAAGCAAAGGGATGCAAACTTGGTTGAAACTTGCTACCATCATCATAATTATCAGTCCTTTCCTATGCTGGTTCTTTGTATTTTTTTTTTAAAAAGCATGTTAAATGCAGTTGCAACAATCACAACACCTCTTGTTTGGGGAAATAGCATATTAGGGAGAATTTCTAGAGTTCATCATTAAGAAGCAAAAGAAGGAAAACATCGGTCTCCCATCTAGTAGAGAGGATGTACAGAAGGAGGGTCACCAGGCAGCCCAAATTCTACTGATCCAGGTAGTTTTTAAAACCACATTTTCTTGCTGCATATAAGGTGTATGGTCTGCAAAGTTGACACCCCTACTAGATGGATGTCAGCAGGCTTCGCCCACAACATATCCGACTGCGGATCCTCACTAACCCAAATCCCACCAAAAATAAGCTGTGCTTTTATTATGTTTGATATCGTCTCCCTCCTTCATGGTAGATATAATTTGAAAATTCTTGCTGGCAACGCTCGCAAAGATGTACTGGTACAATGAATGACACAATGGTACAAGAAAATAATTGACCCCCATATTCATTAAAGAGAAAGGCTTGGGAAAACAGTTGTTCAGTATGACGGAGTACCAGATGAATGAAGAGGTATTTAAAGAACAGGTCTGTTAAGTTGGCCCTCCAGATAAGATTATGTGGATATCAAGGAGAAAGGGTCTTTAGAAGCAAGAGTGCTTTTATTTAGTTATTCATTTATTCCTCTTAGAAAAACTTAAATAAGCAATACAAATTTGTACTTGCATTTAAATGCAACTAATTAAGGTTTCATTGTCTGATGCAATAATTTACTTCAGATACCACACAAACCTTTGCCAACTACCTTCCCACCACACATAAACTTCATAAAAGAAGTTTCATTGATCTGGTTTTTTTATGGAGGCTATTTCAGATTTTTTTTTTAATTCAACTAAAAGATAAATAAGTTCCTCATTGTTTGGAGAGGCAGCATTTTCATCTAAAAGAAAATAAATCTCATTTTAAACAGATTGCCTTTGACCCATTATTATTACCGACATTCTTGCTTTTTAAATGTCTGGCAGAGATACAGCAAAACACTTTGAAAAGTCAAAGGGACAAGTTACTAACAAACAGAATATTTCTGCCCAGAAACAAGACAGTTTCCTTGATGAAGTATAGCAAAGCTTTGTATTCACCCTTAAAAAAAAAAAAAAAGAATTACAGGACTTGTAGAATTAATCCTACCAAGACAAGATACAGAACCATATAGAAACACAATTAATACTACCAAAATAAGCAGATTCAGACTAAGTGTAGCATCACCACAATAGACACTCTCACACTGTCTATGAAATATGTGGGAGAATGTAGAAAACTTGTGACCATTCCAAAGTATTTTACTTTCCAAAGTAAAACATATATATATATATATGTTAAAAAAGCAAAATAAAAACCAACAATAATATTCTGCCATTTCCTATACTTCAGGTAAGACTCCCCTCTCTGAAAGAACTTGGAGATTATTCACAGCATGCTAAATCAATTCACACATACATACAGAGGATGAGAAATCCCACAGAATGGAAGGAAGGGTTTGGAGTACAATTTTAATGGTGACCCAATGCCCACATTTCTTCTGAAAGTGACTCTTTTGAGTTTGACATTCTCTGCCCAGAATACATGAGACCATATGGAACTGCCCTTTCTAAGAAAGAAAGAAAGAAAGGAAGGAAGGAAGGAAGGAAGGAAGGAAGGAAGGAAGGAAGGAAGGAAGGAAGGAAGGAAGGAAGGAAGGAAGGAAGGGGCAAAAATGAATTGATTCCTCCCCTACCCAAGACTTGTACATGTCCTGTCTACTGAAAACAGGCATCATAACCAAGGCGATTCAGTAGCTCCAAGAAAAAAATGTCAT